GATTAAAATTGGGATTAATCAGGCAAGATTACCGGCTTCCAGATGCACGCCTCGTCGTTGAATTGTACTATCTCGCGCGATTCACTTTCCGCGGCATCGTAGCGTATGTCGTTGAAAAATAACCCTCGTCGTACACCACCTCTCCGCCAAGGCCTTCGCCGTTCGCGCACACCGTTCCCTTTATACGCTCGCGAGCGCATAATGCGGCCGCGCTGCGGGTCCCGCGGAGCGGCCTGGAGCGGCTCGGAGCGGAGAGAGAGAAGATGCTCTCGAAAAAGTGCGGCAACAAAGTTGCGCGGTGCGCACACCCACGTCCGCGAGATCCAGAATGTCAGGGTCGTACCTTAACCCCGCGTTGTCCTTCGCTGCCTTCGTGTATCCACCTTCTCTCTTTTTTTTTTTGTCGTCGGGTTGTATTTCCACCGGTGCAGTTAGCGGATTTTTTTAATTACTACTTCTACCTCTCTTTCTCTCTCTTTCTCTAACTCCCTCTCTCTCTCTCTCTCTCTCTCTCTCTCTCTCTCCTTCTTTCTTCTATATCTCTATCCACCGTTAAGCACGACACACTGTTAACTGCAGCGCGAATTAAGGTACGGTCACTTAAAAGCAAACCCGTAAACCGACGCCCACGCAGCGGGTACCTGTTATATACGCACTTACGTGCGTTCAGGGGCGGATCGAACAAGGAATTGAAAAGCGACCGATGTTCTATTTTCGCGGTTGCGAATTTTGCTGAAAATTTTTTTTATTCCTTTTACTTAAATTTACTTAAACGTAATCTGTAAAGTACATATATGTATTAGTTTTATTGAAATGTATCAAAGATAATTCTTGATTTATGAAGCTATTTTATCGTTATGAATAAATTAATAATGCTTTATTTCTCTCTCTCTCTCTCTCTCTCTCTCTCTCTCGATCTTTCTCTTACAAGATTTTAAAGATCGTTCCATAAACGTAAATCTTCGCACAGTCGATGTGAACCGATGCGGTCCTGGATGTACAAGTACAGGGTGGCCAGACAGAAAAATCCGAAAGGCTCTCTTCTACCGATGAGTGCCACGAATAAGGGCCACATAAAGATGGATCATAAAACTATGATTTACGTCTTGTCATTGATGCGTTTACTGTCCGTCCGTCGGTCAGTCCACCCATGAGTCCGTCTATCCATCCGTTCATCGTGCGTTCGTCTATACGCACCCATGAGTCCTCCCTCCCTTTCTCCTTCGGTTCATCATCGTCTCTCTTCGTTCCCTCTTATTATCTTTCTTATAGCCTCCCTTCTTGTTCTTCTGTTTCTTCTTCTTCTTCTGCTTCGTCTTCCTCTTCTCTACCGGTTTCGCCGGATAGCCCCATCGGGCCGGCGATGATCGATTCGTCGCTTGGAAAAAAATAGCGTGTCGTTATCATCGCAACTATTATAATCCACTGTGAAATATTGCGTGTGATAGGCGCACGGCGACGAGCGGTTCGACGAAAGCGAAAATTACATCGTGTAAGCAAGTATCCTGCGAATTCCCGTCTGATCGTATCCCATCTGATCTCATTGGATAATTAAACGTTATTTGTATCTCAAGAGTTTTGTTATCTGTATCATGTTACAGTTATTAATAAAAATTCTAAACTCTTTCAATTGTCATAGATGTGTAATGTAAAAGACTTTGATCTACACAACAGAAAAATTTATATCTGTGTGCTATCTGTGTCTGGAAATTAGAAATTTTAATGAAATTTTAATGGAGAAAGTAGGTGTGTCGTGCAAAAATCTCAACATCCTGAATTTATGACTTGATTGCAATTTTGCGTTAGCTTGCCGCGGCAAATGCGATCTTATAAACCTTGCGCGGTTCTTTGTATTTCTTTATGCATTCATGCTCGAAACATACGTAGGTTATTTAAAGTTTTAACGCAGCCCTGACTCCCCCGACAAGAGGGTTACGTTTAATGGCGTCTGCGGTTTCCCATCAAACTTCTCCTCATAGCACCTGACATCTCACACTTATATCCCCCAGAATTCCATCATTTCTCATTTGTTTCGTGGAATCCTTCTACCCTGATTTTCTTTCTTGCTTCTACATAAAGAAACTCTCTTAAAATAATCTTCATCATCCTCCCAAAGGATCTCTGAAATAATTTCCTTACACCATCCCTACTTATGTATATGTTTTCTGTAATGCATAAAAATAATATTTGTGTTTTTATTATACGAAATGGCAAACAATGCCAAATGAGTGTTACATGTGTAATTTAAAAAAAAAATGCGAGATTGTTTTTTCGATAGTTAAGTATATTAAAGTAAAAAAAAAAATGGATAAATAATATTATAAAATTTTATTTTTTATTTTATTTTAACTATATTTTGTCATAACATTAATCTTTAATATTAACAAAAATATCAAATATACTAAAGTTGAAAATAGAATAAATAATAAAATTTGGTTTTTATTTTTAACTATATTTTAGTATAATACGAACTTTATTTTTATATTAACAAGAATGTCGATCGATTTTTAGACGAATTTTTATCAAAAAACGAAACTTATTGTTAGAAATTTCCGAGAAGAGGAAGAAATAGAGCGATTTTGCGGACACCCTGTGTACACTGGTGCATCATAAAGTTTCCATGTTACTCCATTACCGAAGATGACGCAAGTACTACGTCTTAATCGCAGGATTACACGGCTTGCAGCGCGAAAGCTCTGTGCAGGACAACGCAAACATGAATTACGAAATAAAAGTCTGCTGTAGCAACAGTGGCAGCGGTGACTCTCGTTGTGTTGAAAACTTTCAAGTGAAAGCGATCACGCGCGCGCCGCTTGTTAAGACGTCAGTTATCATCGGCTGTAGGTGATTAATCCGACAGGTTGGAGGCGGAATTATAAGACGGCAAAACGCGTTATCGCAGCGACGGCAACAGCGGCGGCATACGTAAATGTGCGAGATAAAGACGAATATACATGGCGACGATACATATATCATGGCACGTACGGGGTTCATCACGGTGATGAGGAAGGACAGAAGTCCATTTATCAGAGGCTCGTTCATAGAAATCTTTCCGAGTGCCGTACGATGACTCAAAGGATATCGTCCCGAGATTATCAAACATCGTTTCATCTTATCTTTTGAGTTTGCGAATTGTAGATGTTCAGATTGCGAGAACTCTCGGTTCTATAGTTTAAAAGCGCTAAAGCGGCAAACGATGCAACGAGATAAATGCAAAGTCAGAAGTTAATTAATTAATATAAACGCTTGTCATGATAGTAAACGCGGCTTGAAAATACGTAGCAGGAATCACGGGATGCCTGGAAGGTGGAAAAAGTTTCCCTTGCAATGTTGCTTCATAACTACATATATCCATGGTCGGATCAAGGCACTTTAAGAAAGCCTGTGTAGGGGGTAGGGGTTCTCAAAGAATAGTAGACTTTACATAGGCTTTACATATTATAATTTTATTATTCAATATTACGAAGCTTTCTTAGATTAAACCGTCTGCTTTATAAATCGTTGCTTTTGTAATAAACGGTCGCACGCATTTCTTTTTCATTCAAATATCAGGATATAATTGATATGCGCATACGTTAACTTTGCAGACTTAAAGACAAGATTAATTCTCTCAAGGTATATTTTTATCATTCTCATCGTAAAGGCACCGAGAGAATTACTCGGCCATACGAGGGCCCGGCCCTGCACGCGTACGTCGAGTCGCGACGCGAAGGTGAGCGCGCGGTTAATTTGCATAATCAATTCAAAACGATGAGTCTCGCGCCTCGAACGGATCGGTCATTCTTTTCCCGACGGCCCCCGGTATGGAAGAAAAGCCATTTCTGGCGTTATATAAATTACGGTCGTCTCACCCAAGAGAGCTGCGCGCTCTTATGATTGTTGGAACGGCGCGGCGTTGTGGTACCGAGTAGCAACCGGGGCTCTCGAGTTTCGCCATATAGGTAGTAGCTTCACTTCGATTTGGATCTCTGATTACGCATCGTGAAGCCGACGTGTGTCAAAAGTAAAAAAGCGGAGAGAGACAAAGAAAAAAGAAGAGAGAGACTAGAAAAGTGAAGAAGGAAAAACCGTGCATGTTGCACACATCGTTAAGCATAAAATCTTTTACGAGCGTTAAAAATCACCGTAGCACAGCGTCCCGGCGCCATTTCTTTATTTCCATTGCGATCATTTCGTCCTCTCTCTACCGTTATACTTCGCTGTAGTCATAAATAAGCGAATCCTTCGCCGTTTTAATTTCTTCTTCGTCTTCTTTCTTCTTCGACGAAAACGCCTTCACTCTTCTCTCGTACGGCCCGCCTTCTTACATGCCCGTCGTCTCTTCGTTCTCGCCGTCATCTCGTTGTCATCCTTTATCGAGTTTGTCGTGTATGTAACATTTTATGACACTTACACGCTTGTTAACAAATCCACGTTGTTTTGCCAGACACTTCTAATAAAAAAATTGCCTGCAAACTTTTAGAATCGTAGAATTGATTGTTTTTCATAATCTTATCTATTTTGACAAGTTTCGAAGGCGATAATGGAATCGTAAAAAATGTATTTCCACGAATTGATTACATAACTTTTTAACACTCCGTCCATTTCAACGAGGTTTCAATGATGTGATGGTGTAAATGGTATATTCCTTTTTAATATTTCAAACAACAATAAATGACCGCATATGAATGCACAATTAAGCAATGAGAAGGTCATATCGATCTAACTGGTGCTTAAATAATATTTCGGTATAAATTTATATTTATATGCAGTTCTGTAAATTGGGCTCGAAATAATTTTTGGTCTTGAAACGCAATCTTCAATTGAAACTGGGGTAATAATATACAAATTAAATTGACAGGCAATTTAACGAAATTGATGTTAATAAGCATGTTAAGCTGTAAATAATTTATTACGAAAATATCCAATAAAATTAGCCAACATGATTACATGCTATGTTTTATTTTTTTCTGATGGAAATATTATTAATGACCGATCGGGTGATATTTTTCCTGTCGTAGATGTGAGCTACTGAAGGTGGGATTCTCAGGAACCGCGAGGTCCTCGCAATGGAGGCGGGACCGAAACAGCAGCAGCAGCAGCCGCCGCAACAACAGCAGCCTCAGCAACAACAACAGCAACAGCAGTCGCCTCAGCAACAACAGCAACAGCAGCAACAGAATTCACCCAGCAGCATTCAGTCAGCTCAGAGCCAGACAGTCGTCGGTTCTCAAGGTGGAGCAACGCAAGGTCAAGGTCAGCAGCAGAATGCGGAGGACGCGCTTGCGGCGGCGGAGAACACCCCCGTCAGCGAGGGTGTGCTCCTCGCTCGGATCCACGTGCCCGAGCTGTACGTCAGCAAGTGTCTGCAGTTCCCGAAGGATCAGCTGGTCTGGGACGTGAAGCAGCAATGTCTTGCGTCCTTGCCCAAGGTACGAACGATGTTTTGACGTAGGTAGGAGAGAGGAGTTCTCATGTATATTCCTAGATATCCCGAGGGAAAACCTTGAAAACAGCCTGCGGAGCTGGAGTTATATCGATGTTCTTAACGACGATCGAACGATTCACTCCCGGACTAAAATTTATCTCCCAGCTTCTCGATAGCGTAAGATAGACAGACAGACGGGCGGACGGACGGACGGACAGGCAGGCAGGTTGCGCGGTGGAAGATGAAGGGGAGAAATTGAAAACGGAACGCATTATTCTCTTTCGCGGCAATAAATCCCGTGCGCGTACCTCTCCCGCGTGTTATTTCTGGCCGGACGATCCTTACGTCGGAAATTTATGAAGCCCGTGGCGGATTCTTGTTTTGCCGTCTCCATCGGACGTGCACGAGAGAGCGCGCGCGTTTCCTTGCTTGCTTGCTTGCTTGCTTGCTTGCTTACTTACTTACTTACTTACTTACTTACTTACTTACTTACTTACTTACTTACTTGCGCCGAGTCCTTCGTACGATAATTACACGTATTTCGTTGAGAAATTCCCCCGCGATCGAAAGCGCCGGTAATATAATTCGTAGCCCCGATTTAGCGCGAGTTGGTGCGCGTGAGAGACGGACGGCGCGGCGGAAAAGGACAGAAGCGGAGCGGCATTCGCCTCTCTTTACCCTCTCGTTCTCGTGCGTGTACGACGTGTACGTACGTTACACAGTAAGCCGGTCGCATTTTGTTGAGAAATTCACCCGCGATCTCTTTCTTTCTCTTTCTCTCTCTCTCTCTCTCTCTCTCTCTTTGAAGAGCGTATAGTATAATATAATTCGTACCTGTGCCACCCGAGGCGATTTGTTCCCGCTGGAAATTGCGGTCGCGTGTATATTTCACCGAGGATCGCCGAGTATCGATTAATCGCCGATTACGGTCGAACCCCATCGGATCTGTCATTTATCACCGTGCATCCGCTTCTCGCGCGCGCGTACCGCCATGCCAGATCCCAAGGACTCCATCAGGCTTTTTTCGAAGGACGCTCCCTCCGTCTGTCCCTCTCTCTTTCTCTCTTTCTTTTCCTCCTCTTCTCTATCTTTTCTCTGTCTCTTTATTTCCGACGCTCCACTCCTTTTCTCTCCTCTCCTCTCCTCTCCTCTCCTCTCTTTCGCCCGCCCTCTTCGTCGTCGCGAAACCGCTCGTAGTTCCTCGGGCGGCAAAAAGTACAGCGCACAATATTGCGCACCGAGAGCGGAGGCAGCAGCGCGCTTTACATGCCGATTTCGCGAGATTGCAGACAGCGCGAAATTAAGAGCCGCCAGAGCGAGTAATGACGAATTCTCGAGGCGAGGAGAGAGCGAGATTCCAGTCTTTTCTACTGCTTTCGTGGTGAATCGTCCCATGGGACTGCCGAGAGAGTCACGAAGGGTATATACCAGATTCAAAGACGGTAATCGGATCGAGTGTTTCTTTCTCTTTTTTTTTTTGTTCGAGAGTGTCGAAGCTTCTCCTTTCGTTGATCCACGTAATGCAATTAGGAGTGGTTCATATATACATTTCTTTTAATTATAATTCTAATCGAAGAATTTTAGCTTTTCTTTTTAAGAATTTAGGATAATCAATTCTCAAACTGAGAAAATTCTGTTTTATGTTTCTCTTTTAAGAAAAGGCGAATTAATCCATCGAATCCTCTGTTCGTAATCTTACTTTTCGTTGATTACTGGATTTCCTTTTATCTTTACCTTCAAAGAAATCACATTTCGATTCGGCTGACGACACTGCACGATCCGATACTCATCGCCTTTGAATTCTATCGCGTATTCGCTTTCCTCGTGCTTTCATTCAACTCTCGAGAACTTTGACGACCGCACAAGAGCACATGTTAGATGCACTTTGTTGCTGAAGCGTGTCGAGAATAGACACGCGCACATGCGCGAGTGTCCCCGTTAGGCGAAATAGAGACTAGAATATCGATATTGTGGCTTTTCGCTTTCTGTGAAGTCGTCACGCTGTCATGCGTCCTCTTTCTCTCCTCTCTCTCTCTCTCTCTCCCCCTCCTCTTTTCTGCCTTTTTCCATCTCTTTCTTGCTCTCTGTCACGCAAAAATTTTCACGCGTGTCGTCTTTCTGCCCTACATGCTTGCCTTCCGGGACACAGGAGGTATAGCACAGAGACCTCGATAATATGCCCCCGTTAAGTCCTCCACCAAAGATAACCAATTGCTTACTCGACATTTTCATTTTTCTTGCTTTATTTCATTTTAGTTTTCCTCGCAATTTCATCGATCTGCGAATAACTTTCTTTAATTCTCTCACGTTCCATCAAATCGATTTATCAATTTCTTTGTAATACTAGCAGAGATATATTTTGTATGATCTAGGTATCAGGTACGTGAAGGAGATTTAAAGTGATTTAAATCATATATACGCGGTACCAGTATATGGTTCATCGATTGTATTATACACGACAACTATGTATGTGTCTTGCATGAAAATATAACAAGAACGTATACTGGTACCGATTCAATCCTGTCCCAGTATTTTCCCAAAGTTTGAGTTGTATTTAATGTTTTATTTTTAGTTTTATTTACTCATTTAAATATTTATGCGCTGCACTCCGGATGAATTTTTCGATAATCACGTGAATCACATTCAAGTAATTCAATATTAATCTATTAATCTTACATTACTCGCGTGATTTAATTACGTAGGGAGTTTCATCCAAATTATATGTCAATTTTCATTGTTCTTTTTAACGATTTACAAAAATAAAAGTAACAACATTTTTTAATACATTCTTTAGGTAAAGACAAATGTAAAAAATTGTAAATTGTGAAACAATTTGCGCTAAATGTAATATGTATAAATATCGTTCATACAGTTAACAAATTTATAAAGTAGAGCAAGTATCTCAGACACCTCACTCGAGTAATGAAGGTTAATAGATGATTATATTATCATTATTATATTATAATTTATTGTAAGAGGAATGTGTTCATCATATGCAGTTATATCTAATTCATCCTGGGACAGCACCTTACGATATGTACATGCACTTGTATTATTCATACATTATTATTCACGTATAGATTTTCATATTTGCGTATATTTGTCTCGCGATGCGCGTGATCGCCAATGATCGTGTATTTTCTGACCTGTGGTGTTGTTGTTGTTGTTGTTTTTGCTTTTGCCTCACCCTGCACGGGGGCGAAATATACTCTACACCCGCCACCAACCACCAATCGCCACACCTGTGCTACTATCGTCTCACGTGTTGTGGGGCCCTATCTACGAACGCGCGTACCACCCCCCTTCGTACGAACGAACGAACAAACGAATATCGCAAATGCTACGCGAAAAAAAACGCGCCTTTCTCGGGGCCCTTCACCACTCTCCACTTCCGGTTGTGTTACGGATAAACCGCCAACACCGCTTCTCCATCCCTTTCGAGCGTCTCGCAGGTGGCCACTTGGTACAGGGTACGTCTTCACTATTACTAATAGCATGCGACCACGCCTTTCGTGCCTCGTCGATTGATTGTTTTCGCTCCCCCTTTTGTATTTGTCGTTTTACGCCGATTTGCATGGCGAAATGAGAGAATCCTGCGGCGATTTAAAAGGGAGTCAGAGATACTTTTTTTTTTTTAATAATATATTTATTATTAGTTACTTAGAAATTATGTAGCTTTATCAGTTTGAAAATAGTTGATGGAATTTACTTAATTAATGAAGATATATGTTTTTTATAAATTATTTCCTTTTTATATGTTGCACATTTCCTGATAAATTGGGATGATTTTTTGTATATACGTGTAACGTGGAATTATTAATTTTTGGTTTAGTGAATTTGAAGAGAAAGTTACAGTAAAGCGCTGTCACGTTGCGCATTTGTTATACAATCCGGTCATGGTAGTAGAGTTATATAAAGTGATTATTTTTATTCATTTGTTAACAAGCTACGATTACGTAGCGATAGTTAATTTTCCCGCCTGCTTTCTTTGTACCTTTGCATCTGCCGTTTAATATGCATTGAATATTTATGGATTAAATAACGAAACACGAATTTGCATTGAAATTAAGGGATTAAACAAGGATATATATATCCTTTATATATATAATTGAGGATTTTATATCATTCCTTACGTCTCTGTGAATCTCTCGAAGCAAATATACTACGACTTATTTATAATACAGAATGGGGAGATTAAACGATATAGTTTTAGGTTTGTTTGTATGGTTTAGTCTTCGCGAAGTGTCAACCAGCATGCTCGCATGATAGTTCGTCGAGATAATTTAGCAACGTGATTGTTCTTAACTATTAGTTTTTGCACGATTGTTGCTCTGATGTTCTTAAACACGACGCGGATAGTTATTAAACAATAAATTTTAAAAATTTGTATACTATATTTATATTGTATTATATATTGTATTTATATTGTATTATATGATAATTATTACACTCTCTAATCCTTTTCCATTTATTCTGGTTGTTCTCATCGCGTTTGTTTATTTTTTTTTCCCATTCATTCAGTTTTAGAATGCTTGCATTGAGAGTTGTTTCTGCTCATGTTCGAAAACGTCAGCGAAAACAATCGTGTCACACGATTGCATGTACGATTTGTATCGAGCGGCTACGTATCGTGTGTATACAACCTGCGATTTCCGATATATATTGGGTCATTTAAAAAGTATCCGCGGTTTTTTCATTCAAAAATTGAACAAAAAAACCGCGGATACTTTTTAAATGACCCAATATTTATAGTTTGTAGAATGATACTTGATAAAAATGTATGCTTTCCGGGTCTAGATGAAATATCAGAAATTGTGAGAATACTCGGAATACTTAGCCGCTCGAAATCACGTTTGAGACTATGATTCACTCAGGTGTGACATTTCAGCGAGACCGCAAATTTTCCCGGCGAAGGTACGTCGTTATGTACAGCAGTACTAATAGCGTAAGGCACGTAGGAGATTCATTTTAGCGCGTCGAAATACACGTCGTAATGCGCTTTTTAGCACGCGCGACGTTACGCCGCGTTTTGCATCATAATGCGTTTTGATGTAATACAAAAGCTCGAAAGGATATCCGCGATTCTCGCCGGGCAAGTGTCCTCGATCGAGGTCGCGCGCCATGCTGTCGACCTCCTCCAGCGAGACCAGTCTCGACCATCGCGTTGCAGCGCTGCCTGCTAATGTTGCTGCTGTGTCTCTCTGACGTTGCTGTACACGGTGACTTTCGTTTTCGCCGGGAGGTTAACGAAACCGTTGAACCCACATCGATTGCCGCGTTGCGTTCCTGCAGACGGCATGCAGTAGTGCCGACCATCGTCCTGCAGACAAGAACCTCTTTCAAGAATAATTCTACGGAAATTTATGAGCTAAAATGTTACTTACTATGTACAATGGTGAGTTTTTTTTTTTTTTTTTTTTTAGAACACCTCTAACAAGAATTCTTTTCTGAAGATGTTGGAACTTTATTATTTTTTCTTTTTTAGAAAATGCACATCTGATTGCTAAATTTTTGGATAGAATACATATATTGCTAAATCTTCTCTTTTTAAGATAAAAAGAAGTTCCTTCTCTTTCTTTAGAATTTTTGAAGCTTTAGATTTTTCCTCATTATTTCCTCATAATTATACGTTTCATGAGGGATATGCATAGAATTCTTTATTTCATGTGCAATTCGTAAAAGCAGCATCTTGGAAGCCTCGTATATAATATACATACAAGTTACGTAGAAAATCATTTTTTTTTAATTATCTTCGTCTGTTCATTCAGCTGCAGCTAGCGACACTATCGATCTGTCGAGGCGATGTGGCGCCTCGTGCTTCTTGGGTCTTACATGGGAGAGTTGGCCAAGAAATTCGTTACCCTTTTTGTTACTTACTTTCCCATCGGACACTCTAAATACTCCGCGTGCCGCTAACGACGCCAGTTCATTACTCCTTTCGTGTATATCGCTTTCGATCACCTTGGCCTAAGGGGTCCATTCTCGCGTTAAAATTGCTCCACCCCCATCTTCTATCTACAGTTTATTCGCGTCCCGATATCCTCTCGCCTTCGCCGATCGAGAATAGGATACAGAATTCTGAACACGATTCGCCAAAAGTTGTTTAAAAAGAACAGAATAGCAAGGCATGAAAAAGACGAATAAAAAAAAATATAAATAACTATTATTATTTATTTATCAAAGTTTTTATTGCACGTAACTATTATTCACGTGAGATACACTTAATTTTGTCTTCGCATTAAATTTTTTATGGTACGATAATGTGAATAAATATAATGTAAATAGTTTTAACAATAGTTGATACTTTAATCCAATATAATGCGGATGATTTATGTTAATTCGATCTTAGATATTTCTAAGCTATCAATATGCGTCTCGATAAAATCTTATTATTAGACGATGATAGTTAGCTCCTGGAAGCAATTGCTTCAAGATCGCGACGTAGTCGCACAGTGCTTATCGCCGTAAATGTGCATGATCCACCGATATCACTGTATCCTGTACCGGAACAGACCGAATATTACCGGCACGGCGATAGTATATCGCTGCATATCCCGCAGGAGGATCTCGGCGCAGATAAATTCACCCTGGCCAGAGCGCCAGAGGATCTGTGGCAGAATCGAGAAGGCAGGACTTCGTAGGCGTAGACGATCATCGTGATCCACGATTGTGTGAACCAGGATCATCCTTTACTTCCGATAGGATCGCGCCCCCCTTTCTCTTTCTTCATCTCCCTCACGGCGGCTTCGGGCTATCTACGCGTCGTCACTTTGTAACGCATATTTTTCTCGCGCCTGTACCATATAATAATGTTCCCTTTATCTTTATCAGAAGATAATTTGTGTTTTGCAGGAAAAAAGAACCTAAATTCTTACACACGCGAGTTCTCAGGATAAAAAAAGTACTTTAGTTTACATTTTTGAGTAACAAATTTTGATTTTAAATTTTAACAGAAATAAAAGTGATCTTTATTTAGGTTTTGTTGGATGATTATTAATATAAAAATTAAAAGGTTGATGTTATTTGATTTGCATTTGTAATTCTTTTTTAAACATCTCGTACCATAAAATAAACGAGTAAGTTTGAATAGCAGACTTTTTTTGTATACCTGCTCAGTTTCTACGGTGGAAGTGAACAGTGGTAAAAGTGACAATTAGATCGATTTCCACGATGGATATAGTTGCCTTCGCACGTGTTATCGATTTCACAAACAAGTTCAAGTCGACGGTGATTACGTCCGCATACCGAGACAACGTATCGTGAATAAAATGGACACCCGGAAATTAATGAAGGATGTATAGGGAGAACGAAGGATTCTGCCGTCAAGATCGACAAATCCTGCCGTCCCATCGACACGGAACAAATGCGCGCGAGTTGTCGAGCGAGTACTACATCGATCTATTTATATCGATCGTACGCTGTGAACTGGTACGAGAATAGATCGAATGGAGATCGATGGCCAGAGAGGTTTTCCTCCGTGTACGGCAGGAAGGACGTCTTCGTTGGAATGTGATTTTTAAACGAAGATACAACTTAAATTGAGAAGCAAGAAAATTAGCAATTATGAAAATTGCAAAGTAAATAAGAGTTTAAAGAGCAGGTGAATTAAGGGTGAAATCCAGGAAAGATGCGCAATTTTCGAGATGCGCGGACGCGATGGAACACATTGAAGTCAATTTACATGGTTGGAGATCGAGCAATCGTCGGAGACTCAATCGAATGCGGAATCTTCCTTGCGAGGAAACCGGATACAAACACGCGAGAAGCATCGCACGAAGACACGTGGTCTTTCTCGAAAAGAGATGAGATGCAGCCTTGGCTGTATCTCGCTCCTTAGTCGACCCTGCCATCTTCGTTGGGTAACTCGGTGAAACGTAGCGTTGTCGCTTATTTCGCGTAATTGCTGGTGTTCCTGGCGGGCAGACTCTTCCGAGGATATGCGATTCGCGCATCGGATCGTACGAAGCTCGATCACGCCAGCGGCAAATCGTCCTCATTCCTGAAACATTTTTATCGCTCATTCAATTTAGCGACGAGTTTATTTACCCTTCTTACTAAAAACGCCCATAGCGACTTGCTTAAAGAGGAAAGAAATAGCGCGCGAGCTTATTAAACGTTTATTAAGTATACATTTCTCGCGCGCGTCGCTTGATGACAATCTTACTGCGAGATCGCCGAGTAATTTTAGAGCCATCAGTTGAATTAACATGCATAGTACTCTACGTGCAAAAATATTTTTTCTTCAAAAATAATTAACTTGTAGAGTAACTCCGGTATGTATACCTATCAAAAATTTAATTTATTGAGTATTATTTACTAGTTAAAGTAAACGAACTGTATCAGTTCGTAAAAACTTTGTACTGTTTACTATTATGAAAAAAAAATATTAGAAATCCGAAATATATATTTTTTTATATTAAAAAATAAACTTTTTGAAACCCTTGCATTTTTGCATAGTATATCCCATAGGGGTGGAATATATAGCTACTCATGGGAGAAGGGAGGTACGTACGGCTCATGAAAAATTTATAAATAAGATGTAAAATGACGCAATAAAAAAAATGTGTTTATAAAATGTGTTTATAAAGTTTTATTAAGGAATAGGAATGATAAATATGTATATGAAATAATAAACCATAATTACAATCTTCCTATATTACAAGTGTTATAACATGAGATACATATTTCATATAATGCGTTTATTATACAATATTTAATGCACTGAATTCAATCTGCGCACTTTGTATGCTTTGGGCATAAATCTTGCTCGCTAAAAATGCCGCATATCCCAAACAGATGGGATATACAAGATAACAAACTAAACAAAGAATACTAAAGCAAAGTACTTGTATTTTGCTATATAACATGCTTTACTACACGTATGTACGAAATAATCACTAAGTCTTTTACACGCTCTACAGTAATCATATTATGTAGACTTTAATTTATGATGTCGTTACTTATTACAGTGACAAATCGATTCAACTCACAATAATTTCATTAATATTAACAGTAAGAAACTGAAATCATAATACAATACTAATATAACATAAAGGCGTATAACAGAATAGTTACGGGAAAATTACTTCTTCTATTTTTTCTGATTTCTGCGGTGCAAATCCCATCGTATTTGTCGGAGTTACCCTATATTTATACTTATTCAAGTATACTTATTAAAAATTAGAAAATGTTCCAATAATTTTCCAGAAAGAAAAAAAGAAAGTAATTTTCAACATTTTAATTGTTATTACCTAATTTAAGAAATAATTATACATTTATCTCATATTTTCACGTTATTTGATAATTTAACTTGGAAATCATCATACGGCGAAGTGAATTTTTTCTTCAGAGCGAACGATTAGCGTTATTAAAAGAACACACCGCGCTATTTTTACTTACATTCGTAGCTGCGCGCCTATAGTCGTGTTCCCTTTAGAGAAAAAGGAATGGAAAGGAAGGAAAGGTTCGTTCCTCGGTTCGTTTTGTGTATAACGTCGCTTCTTTCAGTCTCGACGAGATCTAACCGTACGGCAGTAGCTGGTAACTGCAGCAGCCTTTTACCCGGGGCTGCTCGAGTGCAATCTCGTATTCATGAATTCCTTGTACGTAGCCCTTCCCCTGCGTTCCTTCTTCGCCTACATCTCCACCTCCGCCTCTACTCCTCCGTTCCGTGCCACTGCCTGGTCCCCTATCTTTTGTGTACCGTGTGTGCACTGTGCACGGAAAATATCTCGCACGCGTGCAGAACTGGCGAAAGAAATCGCTCGACGTTAATCGGGGACGCGCGCGTGATGATCGAAAATGCAAAGTATATCATTTTTATACCTACTATCTTGTCCATATAACGAATCGTTATTTGTATTGCTTGCAGACAGAGCAGTGGTTAAATGGATATATCGACCTGCTAAATCGTAATACCCTGCATATCCATTTGTGTAGTGGATAGGATCTTCTGGAATTCAATTTGGAACACAAACACGAATGAACGAGTGCTACCAATACGGCGGCATTAATTAAAACAAGATATGTGTTCGTGTTTGCAGTTCGTTCTCATTTACTTGGTCTGAATTTAAAAAACTTGATTAAACCGGGAATGTTATAAAAACTTCAAAAAAATAAATATAGTAATAATATGAATAATGAATAAATAAGTCTTAAAAATTTTAACAAAACTTATTGGTAGCAGTGTCTTACGCCGTTTTATGAATTATTAGATTATTATAGCGATATTGATTAATTTATGATGTTAATTACATGAGTATATTATTCCATAATTCATTTGTTTTTCATGTTACCTTTTGCATAATGTGATGACGCATCGCGTGACATATTCCAATATTCCTGCGTGATAAAATATCGATTTTAATTTATTTTTATATTGTTGCGAGATTAAATTGACTGCAAGCGTGTGCAAAGCAATAAGCATTATTCATGAAAAAATAATTGTCGTGATATTGGAAGAAATTCTTCAGCTTTTTAAATTGAGTATATGTGCGTTGCATTGTATTCTTTCGTCAATATTTTTCTTTTAAATATAAATCTCTCTCTCCTATTCATAAATTAAATTAATTTATATTTTGCATTTTGTTGCCAAATTTAAAAGCGCCAAAAAAAAAAAAATAAATTTTTATTTATCTTATATTCATATAAACTCGTATTTATAGATTTCAGATATTTTAAAAATTGGAAGTTTTTTATCGATGAATTGCACATATATAATTATAGTAAAGAAAAAAATTATAGTAAGAAAATAATTATAGTAAGAATAATTATAGTAAGAAAAAAATTAAAGAAGAAATTAAAAGTTGATGCGTTCAAAACAAACGAAAATGTTAGCTGTAATTTAAATTTATTTTTTATATGACTTGTTTGTCGTTATTATTAAAATAGAGATATTTCCCGATTATCGTAACGTTCCTTCGAAACTCAATTATTTCAAGACCTTGATTCGTGTGCACATGTCGATCGTGCTCTGTTGTAAGATTGATCCATTGCGTCGTGTCCAAGCCTCTATCGAGACAAATACCCCGTCGCTATAAATAGTCTATACAAATGTGATTCTCTGGATGCCGCAGCGACATCGAGTCGTACCACAGAAATAAATCTCTCGCGTCAGACCTCGATCGAACATCCTC